ACAGGTCACCTTTGCCTTTCAGAAGATCTTTCAGTTGTTTCTTCTTCACTGCTTTTTCAAATTCTTCCCACCCAAAAACTTCAATGTAAAGGCCCTTTTCAGCACTTGTTGTCTTAACCAGCTGTAAATATGAGTCAACAATAAAGTATGTAATCCACTTTGCTTCATTAATTGTGGCTTTTCCTTCCAACTCTTGTAAGTCACTAGCCTTAAATTAAAGGATCACCCTCAGTCAAAATCAATGCTTTTGCTAACAATCAGCTCTGCTAGTAGACTGCGGCAGGGAAGAACTTGGAATTCAGTGCATCTTGTGAGGTGGACAACTTTTTTCTTAGCTTGTGTAATCTCACTCTTTCCCTACATTTCCTTCTCTCTGCAGCAGCTTTCCTTGGACTGGGAGCTTTCATTCTACTTTTCCTTTTCCGAACTCTGTCTTCCTCTTTGTATGCTTCATACATCTATGCATTTGCTTTGAGTTTTCTTCAATCTGTGTTTTTTGGTTCTTTCTGCTCCAGTTAAAGGCATTTTTCGAGATTTAAGATTTCAAAAAAGGCTCAGGTATATATATTTTCCAGGAAAGGAACTTGTAGGCCAGTAGATGTTTGCAGGCTCAGAATGCAAAGGGCATGCTCAAATGCAGGTGGTATTTCATGTAAAAACCATGTTGTGACCAAGAACAATACAGAATAGTGGATTTATCTTCTATACTTAACAATTATTCACACAATGTAACATCTGCAACATTAGTTGTAACATCCTCGACACTGAAGTTCAAGTAGCCTGGTAAAACTGTGAATGTCAGTTTAAATGAAATAAAGCTTTTTCGTTCACACAACCACTCAACTGCAGATATTTGGAACAGTTCATATAAAAACCCCTGATACTTCACAGGAATTTTGACTTAATGCTAAAATAAAATATACTTGATAATGTGGTTGATTTTTATGCAATGTCCGCAACAGTGTTTTTTGGCTCTATTTTTTTTCACAGAAATCAGTGAAAAGGAAAAATTGTACAGCCCAATTAATATGTCAGTAGGCACAAACATGTTCATTAATAGAGAACTGGACAACTTCTTATTTATCCTTTGTCTGTGCCAAATTAAAGTTTCAAAACTGAGTCTAAATGTAATGTCCGCGACAGTGAAATTGCCCCTGTATATAGAATTGCAATTCATGAATTTGAAAGATACCTATAGCTACTACCCAATTGTTTCCATGTACAATGTATGATTTAAAATTTTAATGTAGATAAACATTTTTGTTGGCAGCCTGTCCTGTGACTAGTCACAAAGAGTAAATCATAAGCATTATTTTTTCCTTTGATTGTTTGCAGATGGAGTCGAAGAGCTTTCAAATCTATCGTCTTTAAATTTGTCTGGCAACATGATAACAAGGTTTGGAATTTCAACTGAATTATTACAACTACATGTACAATAATTATATTACTAACACTGTTTGTTTAAATTTTATCATTACCCAGTTATATCACTATATAGCTGCGTATTTTTCAAAGTAGATTGCTTCTGTAGCTTATTAAGCAATATGGAAGTTTACAGCATGATGACACAGAATGAGAAGTATAGTACTTTGAGAAAAAACCTTATTAAGACACTTTTTTATTTGATCTGGACCATTCTTTTAACCAATTTTAATAGAATGATATAAATGATGGCTGTATACATGCTGTACAGCAATTAAAACAGAGTACAAGGCTGTGATCTAGCAGCACCCGGTGTCCCCTGGCTCTTTACTTTTGCTCTTGAGTGACTCAGGAATTTTAGTTTTTACCTCATGGTATGATGTAAGTCATATGCTATGGGGTTTAGGGTTTTGGGGCAAAATTCAATTAAAAAATCACTCACTCACTTTGTTAGACATTAATCTAATATGTATTAAACCTGGATTAAACACTTTTTCTCCCCTCCCCGACAAGTTTACCTGTTCAAAGTCACTGTGTACGTATATCTGGGGGGTGGTACAAAGGCAAGAATATGCCGAACTACTTGGACAGATTCAAAATGGTGTCCTGTCCATGAAACATCAGAGCCGGCTCCTCGGCATCCCATTATTTTGTTTTTACTTCATTACTAAGTTTATTGAGGTGTTCCTTGGAGTCCTTTCCCTTCTGAGTTTCCTCTATCTAACTTGGCTGGGAATGGGTTTTAAAATGAAGTCACACGCAATTTGGTCGTACAAGTGAAGTTGAAGTGCGGTGCTACATGCATAATTTGAATAGCTGTACATTTATTTTCATGTATTTGAGCTAACCGCCTCACGGTTAGCTCAATTGGTTAAGCGCCGGACTGTTGTGCGGGAGGTCAAGGGTTCGAGCCCCGGCCGGACCAACACTCAGGGTCTTAAAATAATTGAGAAGAATATGCTACCTTTCTATAACATCGATCAAGAAATGGTTAGATATTCTAGTCTTCTTGGATAGGGACGAATAAATGGAAGTCCCGTCTCCTGCAACTATTAATTAGTTAATTTGGTTAGGCAGGGGATGTTAAAGAACCCACTTCACGAGATTACTGTGATGTGGTCTGGCCTGGTTACTGGGAATAGGGGGGAGGGGGCATTTGTTATATTCGCTTTCATTTGATTGTAAACTGCTTAGCAGTATGGTTAAAGTCCCCCGTACAGTGTTGTAAAGCGCCATGAGTTTAAGATATGAGCGCTATCTAAATACAAGTTATTATTATTATTATTATTATTATTATGTATTTGTAAATAAATGTATATACCTTTACCTTTAAATTTGGAATATTTACAACCATTTCATCTTTCACTATGAAATTTTCTCATTTGATGTGTTATATTCAGGCAGTTAGAATGCACGAACTTCAAATTCTTAGTTTGAGAGTAGACACCTTTCTCGCACTTTGAAAATCATGTACACTGGGTAAGATATTCAGTGGCCCCTCTTTGTATTGTAGACTCATTTTCTTAACCTTCTTTTTCATATCTGCAGCATTAACAGCCTTTCCTGTTTGACAAAACTAGAGAATTTGAGGGTGCTGAGACTTCATGACTCAATACAAGGGTTTTCAAATCCTGGTAAGGGTAGAGATTGTTTGAAAATTACATAAACAAAGCAAAAAAATTAATTGCAATATTATGTGTATCATCATTGCTCAAGTCAAACTGTTTGAAAATGGAAAAGCAATAAGACTCAGTTACAAAAAAACAAGCATTATTTTCTGTGATAGTTAAAAAAGTTTTGCACAGTTTTTGTTACACTCAGGTCACCTTTAATCACAGTTGCCTAACTTACTTAGCTTACTTACTTACTTCCTTACTCAGTTGAAAAGCTCCTGAAACTTTGCTTCAAATTGTGTGTGAATTTTATGACTACAAGAGTGTTTCAAATTGCACATTTTTAGAATAATTCATGCGTACCAAAATCTAAAATTTGCTCAGGAAATGAAGTAAACTAATTTGATAATAATTAGACTTTCTGCACGGTGGGACCTACTTTGCATAATTTTGCTAATTAGCGTAAAAATTTTTGAAGCCTTTCAAAAGGGCATGCTTTTATGCATCTTGGTATGGCAGTGAATGCTACATTTTTTCACTTAGTTTGCCTCATGTGTTTCAGTTTGTGCCTCTCAAGAAAACTACAAGAAAGTGATGTGTAATCTTTTACCAAAGCTCAGCACTCTTGATGGTAATTTTTAACTATCTCTTTTGTATTGCCATGACTTTATTCCCCATCTAGAGGACACCGTTATTCACCCTTTCACTCCAAACACCTCATAAGAAACTCTCTATACTGTCTGGAATGCAATTGTTATGATGTTAGTTTGGAGAATTTGGTATTGGATCAACTGAGAATTCCCTGATTTCCCTTTTTCTTTCTTTTCATTACTTGTCTGCTTGATGTTGAATTGGTATTGTGAGGAGAAATTCTGTCTTGGTCACTACAAGTTTATTATTATTATTATTATTATTATTATTATTATTGTTATTATTATTATTAATNAATGACTCAGCATTTTGCTTATGTTGACACAATGCTTTTCTTTTAGTAATGGATTTGTCTTCTATTGATAGTTTAGTCTGATAGTTTAATGATATATATTAATGATATCTTACAATATTACAAAAAATATGCACTGCCCGCAGTTAGCAAAGGCTAGTCGAGGGGGGCAGTGTTTAATACGTATATTATAAAATATAAAATAAAAAGATTTACAGAGCAAGAGATTCAAAATTCTAGACAAATTACAACTACATTAATACATTTAAGATACGGCAAGAAAACAGAACAAGCTGGGGTCTTATAGTTGTGCTATTAAAGTAGACAAATCAATATAATCGTCATATTTTTCGAGTCTCTGGAGGAGGAAATCATGAATTTTACTCTTAAAGTTGTATTTTGATAGCTGGCGCACTTCACAAGACAAGCTATTCCAGATTCTAACACCATTTCTTGAAAATGCCCTTTTTTGTATATCTAATCTTGAACTTGCAACAAAATAGTCGCCTCTTGAAGATGACCTTGTCTTATGGGAATGAATATTAGCTTGATAAGTGAATAAGTTAGAGATGTTAGAAGGTGACAAATTACTGGATATGTCATGCATCAAGATGGCAACTGATTTTAAGTAAAGCATATGCAAAGGAAGAAAACGAGAAGCAACAAAAACAGGAATGCATGACAGTTAAAGGGCAATTACTGTTTCTTAGTGTCAGTGGACTTTAAGAGTCACGCATGGAGCTGCTACTGCTAAAATACAATTTTCTCTTCTTTTTTTTTTCTCCTTTTTTAGTATTATCAATTCTGAGTTCCCATTAAAGCAGTTTTTAATCTGTCAGTCTCTTAGCTTTCGGGAAAGGTTATAACCTTTTCCTTATTTGTTTTTTCTCCAAGGTGAACGTGTGAGTGGCAAAGGAGCAGATCTGTATGAGATGTGTGATGACCTGGATGCAATTCTTAGAGGTAAAATGATGAACGTGTTGCCCAGCATACAGTGTAAGCGTTTCTGCAAATACTGTTTGCCTGGCTGTTGATGATGATCTGTACTTTGCTACAACCAAAAGAATGAAATGAAAGACTTCCCTCTGAAAAGAGATGATTGAATTCCAATGCTATTGATTATTCTGTTAAATACGTGAATGAGCTTTCCTCAAAGTATAAACATTTTGTAGTTTGAGCACAAATTTATGTTCAGTGAAGCTACTACTAAACTTGTCTTTTTGTTCATTGTTTAGCTGGGCTTATATTACTTCCTGTTCATATTGATTTTGCAGTCAACGATTTACAAACAGAGCACGGATTTGCTCTCAAAACGATACCATGGAACACAGGTGACGACTTCACGTCAATTCAGTTTTTGCTACAATTTTGCATTGTTTTGAATGTTTGTTTATTTCCATGTTTAAGGCTATTCTGGTTAACTTTATAACTGATTAAAAAATGATGCTAAATCCAACAGAAAAACTGCTTGCTCTGTCGAATACTTCAATGCAAGATAAAAGTGTAGAAGAAGCTGAAAAAGGATTTAGAGGTAGATTTTGTTGTTGTTTTTGTTTTTTTCTACTGGTCTCTGAGTTCAAACATGTAAGTTCAGACTGTGTCCTTCTTTCTTTACAATAGCATTCATCCTTGCTGGAAATTAAAGGTTTTAACACATGTAGATACAGGTTTCCGTTCTCTTGCGAAAAAAGTTCAGAGACGTGCAGTAAGCTACTCATACGTTACCGCTCATTCGTGTTGCAGGATAACACGCGTTTGACGCACGTGCATTGCTCGCGCACTCCACGCGTGAATGCCTTATACATGTATGTGAAAGGTTACAAATGTGATTCAAACTACCTCTTTGTTAATAGGGAGTTTGAGAGAAACGACGACGGCGAGGCCGTGTACAATGTCGCTTTAAAAATGAACTTATATTTTACCTACGAATTTCGCAATACTCTTAAGTCATTTAGTTTGTTTCTCACTGTCAAAACCACCTCGAAACTGAATGTGGAACACAGCGTTAAATTACAAATAGAAATTTAAAAAATAAGCAGTCGTCGTTCACGTTCTCCAGACAACGCAAAGTTTTGTCATTTCACGTTGTTGTTTTACAGAAGACGCAAAGAAATTTACAAAGATTTATAATGCACGTGGACAGCCATTGTTCTGTTCATAAACCTTTTGTTTAGTGACGTTCCTGTTGACGTTGCCTTCGTGGTTAAAATAGGGACTTTAAGATAGTACATTACGGTCGGTTGGGACGGTTGGAAGCGTACACGGGCGGCCTGGGACCAGGACGGTAAAAAGGCGCGAAAATTTTCACCTTAAGGTCGGGCAACAAGACAGAGGACGGTGAAGTCAAGATGGGAGACTCACTCGTAATTTATTTCGCAGAAAGCGCAATTAGTGAAGAGTTTTTATTTTTATAGGAAGAATACGAATCAATGAATCCTTTTTATCCGTATTGGGAATTTGAGCCATTTTGTTTAGAATTTGCTACCATTTATGAAAGGATCAACAAGCTGAAAGAAAAGCGAGCAGAACTTTCAAAACACTGTACCAGAATGATTTTTCCACACAAAAAAAGAATTTCATGTGAACAAAATTGTTCCCAACAGTAGGAAATTTTATCATTTACCATATGCGAATCAAATTGCGTGCAAAGTGGCTGTATACAGCGAAAAAATCGAATCAACAAGCTGAAAGAAAACCAAACAGAACTTTCAAGACACGGCACTACACCACTGTACCACAACATTTTTTTCCACACAAAAATAGCAATTCACCTGAAAGAAATAAGTCCAACAGGAAGAAAATCTATGGTTAACCAAATGGGAATTAAACAGCCTGCAAATTGGCTACAAACAGCGGGAAATGAAATTTTAATGAGAATGATTCTTACCGTCTTCACCACAACGAGAAATCGCGGGAAAACAGATCGTCTTAGAGGCAAGACGGTGGTATCTCATTGATATTTTTGTTGCGTGACACATGCCCAACCGTCGCAGCCAACCGTAGTCCACCATCTTAAGTCCCTAATACGAAAATGAGTCCGGTTAGACTGTCGAAAACCAAAAAGAAAAACATTCAAATTTCAAAGCAAGTCTTCGGCTCTGAAGCTATATATGTAATTTTTGTGTTTCAGATGTGATGCTTCAGTGTAAGAGAATCAACGAAGATGCCGATAAGGCCATTCGAAATGCCAAAGAAGCGTTGTGGAGCCCCTGACTTCATTCTGTGATTATCGGTTCTGCCGGGGCTAATTATGAACGTAGGCCTGAATGAGCGTGCATGGGTAGAAGTTACTGCTACGATTTGTTTTGCTTGATACCGCACGGTGAAATGAGCGCTACTTGCTCTTGAAAGACAGAAAGAGCTGCCCTGGTGCCGTTGTTGGAGCGAATTGCAAGTCTTTCGAGTTTTCATTCTGCACGGTGTTGCAGTGGAAGTTCCTGAACGAACATGGCTTGGGCAAAACCTACAACCAAGTTGAGTTAAAAACCGCGTTTGAAATTCAGCGTTAAACTAGCAGAAAAAAGTTGCTGTCAAGACACCGAGTCATTTATAAACTGAATCTTCAAAATGGAAATTTGTTGCAAGAGACTGTTGGAGTGAATATCTCTTTACACCCAGATAGTACAAAACAAATTGTACTATCATTGTTGCTACTGATTTTTCTGTTTTCTGTAACCGCTTTGGTTGGAGCTACTCTGATCTTAGGCAGTTCTTAATTTCACGAAATGATAACGGTTTACAATTGGTGAAACCTTCTCATACTTGTATGGACCGATAATTGTTAGGTATTTCGTCAGAATGCTGAGCTAGTATGTCTATAAATGCATAGAGGACCATATGGAAAAATCGCGCACACGGTCGTTTACCAACTATTGTTAGTTCTTAGGGAAATAAACAGCCGAGATTGTCTGGTTAACTTCGTTGGTTGTTAATAGCCCTAACTAAAATATGGTACTTAGGTACCAAGGTGATAAATGAGTAAGTTTCTGAACAAACTGTGGTATTGCGTCGGTGGGAGAGTGTAGCAGATGATTTTGGTTTTATCAACCGAGTTGATAAAGTAAATTGTTCATCGTGAGGAGTTTCAAAGCTGACATTTTGAGCGTCAGCTCTTCGTCAGAGCGAAAGGTGACAAATAAATTGAATAAATAAATGACTAGTAATGTCTAGTTCTTAATCTAGTTCTTAAGATTTAGTAGTAAATCGCAATAATTACTTGACAGTCTTCGACCTGAAAATTTTCAAAGCAAATTTTCAAATTCAATGATTTCAGACTATTTCAACCGTTCCTTTCTTTTTTTATCCCTTTTTTTGCTTTTCTCGCCCCTTTGGCCTTTTTTTAAAGGTGGAAAACTAATGTTAAGTATTACTTTTCGCGATTTTCTAGTTTCAGAATTTCTAGCGCCTATCGCAATTAGAAAGCTGTGGTTTTCTTTAAGGGGACACTCGCAGTATATTTAGCTAGCTGGCACGCGTTCCAATTTTATATCGGCGCTTTTTTCTCTTGTACGAACCTGGTCCAAAGTTGCGCGCGCGAGAAGTTTTAAAATGGTGACGTTGAACGCAAACGCACGCGACAGTTATGTGCGCCTGAACTTATCAACGATTCTACCGTCACAATCGATGTTGGATCACACAGAGCCATAAGGTTGCTGGTATTTTTTTACACAGCATGGATATCCTACCAGGTGAAGTTATCGCGCAGATATTATCTTACCTTCATCCAATATACGAAGACCTTCCACGATATTGCACAATTTGTCGAAGATGGGAGCATATCATTCAAAATACTGGACTTCTGTGGAGGCATATTCACCTTCACGATGATCGAGACGCCCGTCAGGAATTTGAAGATGACTATGCGAGTATATTGTGTCACTGCTTTAAAAAATATGGTCATTTTATTCAGTGCGTAAGAGCAGAAGATCAGGCGTATTTTACTCGTACTGATGTCAGGAGATTACTCACCTCGCTCCCGAACTTGACAAGACTTGACATTCCAGTGCTCTCGTGGAGTAGAGTATTTGCGCAGTCGTTGAAAAGTGCGCCCGTCTTGAAATTCTTAACAATCGATGACTACAGGGCTCTTGTTAAAAGACGTTCACACTTCGGAAACCGACGTTCTCGTATTCATAAGCGCGGGATTCGAGTGTGGGATTTAAGAGTCCTTGCGCGTCAGTTCAAATCTTTGGAATCATTGACTCTGAATATTAACATTTTTAAGTTCTGTCGACATGGAATTGTTCCTGTCTTAGATGAGTTCAAGCTGAAAGAACTGCACCTTGAGTGCGCTCCGTATGGTATTGACGAATTGCCAAGCGAAGAAATTGTGTCGCTCCCACCGATCAAGGCTTTGATGAACTCTCGCCATTCCCCTACTCTTGTTAGCCTTGATTTACACTACCTACCTATCAGTGTCTACGACTTAGTGAGTTATGTGGAGAATTTTAAGTCCTTGAAGCAACTATTTGTGGCTTTTGCAGACGGAATGAACATTACATCTTCAAATTCCTTAGTTCTTAAATCAAGTAGTCTTACAACGCTGTTTTTAACTGGCTTACCAAGTAGAAATGTCGAAATTCTAAAATGTTTGCTTCCTAACTTGGAAGTTTTACTTATTTCGGAATGCCATCATTTAACTTCAGTTGAGATTCTTGCAACAAACATTTTGACTTTGATTTTGCAAGGAAACTGTCAGCTTTCTAGTTTGAAGGCCCATTGCAAGAGTATACATGACTTGCTGATGTACGAGTGCCCTTCAATTGAACTAGATTCGTTCAAAGATTTCTTGTCAGGATGCCCAAACATAAGACAAATGGAGGTCTCCGTGGACTGGAGCGTTATTGAGCTTGACAGAGAACACTGTAATAGCTTAATACAGCTTACAATTCGTGATGTTGGTATGAGTCTGTCAAAGCTCAGAGTAGATTGTCCTACCCTGGAATACTTCAAATGTTCTGGAGACGTATTCCCCGAAAAACACAAGAACAATAAAAGCGTGGCTGGCTGCGACATCGAGATATCTGCCAACTCTCTCAAGAAGATTCAAATCTTTGACATCGGCAGTGCCAATCGCATCACTGTGCACTGTATCGAGACTCACATGATTCAAATCACGGGCTTACAGCCATGGCAGAGACCGCTCACCGTGGAACTGAATGCGTCGCTCAGAGTGGGGACGGTGTTCTTAACTGGTCTGACCATAGGTTTGGCTGTTATTAATTCAATTAATGTGGACTACGTGATTATTGAAAACTGCTCTCTAGCGCACAAAAACAAGCAACGAAATATGCGATTTAAGTGCAAAACTATTCGCGGACTAAGGCTGTTGCGTTGTTCTGGCATGAAGAGTTTTAATTTGCAGGTATCTTGCGTCCAGAACCTATCCATAGACTCGTGCTCAAATCTTCGCGATTTGGATATTAGCGCGTCGAGGCTTAACTACATTCGAATTATTGACTGCCCTCACTTAGAGCCCATCAACGAGAGGCTTAAACCGGAATTATACAGCGGTAGAATTTCTTCTCTCTGCGCAACAGAACAAGCCATGAAGAAATGATGCGGGGCTTGTAGATTTCTTCAGAGGTCCTCACATAGATAAGCAATGTAATGTTTCGAAGTAAATGTACAATAAAAATAAACCACCTTGCGATAGCTAAAGTTTCCACTATCTGCAAGTGCGTTGACAGAGGGTGGGGGAATATGGCAGATAGAGGGCGAGGGTGTGTCTTACTAGTTCCTCAGTGTTCCATAGTGTTTTATCAGTGTTTGACGGGTTCATTCAATTGTTAACAGCCGAGTAACTGCACGCGCCCTGCAAAGACTCATTGATGAATATACGATGGTTCGATTTCATACTTGGCCGTAGTATTCTTGAGAAAAGATTAAGCAACCGGTTATCTGTGAATCCGAGTATTCACTTTTAGTCGCTTTATTTGGCATATTTTCTGATGTACAACGGTCTATTTGCTACCTTTTTTTAATTTGAACTTGCCATTTCTGTAGAAAATCTTACAACTTCTTCGATATGAAATGAAAGTTACAAGTATCACGGACGAAAGGTTTCGATTACGGTCACTTTCTTGGGAAGCTAACTTCTTTCTGCAAGACAGAATTGAATCTAAACGAAGCGAACAATATTACGCGTGAATCGGCTACGTTGCGCAAACAACTTATGTGATTTGTCCTTCAAACGTGACGTGCAGGCGTAACGCAACTACACATGTCGGTGCTTTCCACTTCGCCGCGTGCTATTCCTATTTTTCATTCTTTACGTTTGGGTATCTAATTCATTAGTATCTCTTACTTTTCAATTCACTTAACTTTTTCTACACCTCGATCAGGGTTTTCTAGGACTTCTGAAAATCAAGGAATAAATTTATAATAGCCGTTCTAAAAGCTCTAGCCATCTGTTCGTCATGTTGTCCTTTTAAACGTTCTAACAGAAAAAGTCTCCTTGCGCCAAATACTCGTCGTTATTTGCTGAAATCAATCTTGTAGGAGGTGATGTACTCTGCGTAACCAGGCCTGCTGGATTGCGTGCTTCGACTGTCACGTACACAATGTCTCCTTCAAACAACCCACTTGTGCCATAAAGAGGTAGCGTGACATTTGCTGTGATGCCAACATCTTTGAATGAAAGAACGTCTGTTGCGTTTGGATGTCTGCCAACTGCAACGCGAAATCCGCTCAAACCTGATTCTTCGTCCCAAAACCCAAACCAGTGAGCCCGCAGTGTTTTGTTGAATAGGTGGCAGCTGGAGTGAAGTCCAAAAACGTCATGCGTGCGGTCTGGGCTTACTATTACCGAACCCTTCCAAAGCAAATACGAACAAACAAACATTTTAGGTAAAACAAATAAAAAAAAAAAATTAACAAAACTGGGTAAAACGGTTTCTGTTTGTAAAACGAATCTAAAAGTGTAACGAATACCGTTCATTGTTGTAATTGCGTGACCGTCAATACCTCCTTGTTTTATGTGACATATCGATTAGCTGTCGGCATTACCTTTCATTCGACACACTATTCGACACACTGTTACAAGCGCATGTAGTGGAAATTGATTGAAGGATCGTCGAATATATCATTGTAATAGAACGGAGAAAGAGGTATGTTATATCGTTACAA